CGCGGGGCCACGGGGCGCGCGCCAGAAAGGGGCAGCCCCAGCGGGGCCGGGGCGCAGGCTGCCCTCACTCACCTGGGCAGGAATGGAGAGTCCGATCCAGACGTCCTCATCATCCCACCCCTGGGCCTGTCGCAGGAAGTCGGCGATGGCCTGGTGCTCGTTTCTATCCAGAATGGAGGCGAGGTGGCCCCCGCTGCGCTGGCACAGGGCCTGGAGTGGGCGGTGGGGACAGAGAGGCCGGGATTCAAGCTGGGGGGGGAGGGCAGTCCCTCGCCCCCCCTCCGCCTCCCGAACGGCCAAGGTCTCAGCCCCCTCCCCAGGTTACGCCCCGAGGGAAGGCCCCGCTCCCAAGAAACGGCAGCAATTTTCGCCTGCCCACCCCACCCCCCAGCTGCATGTTTTGCACCCTCTAGCCCGGCTGCACCCCTGAGACCCCCGGAGCTCCCTGCCAAGGGGCTTTGCAGCTGGAAGAGGGGAGGCTGATGGCCGGGGCAAGGGGGTGCGGCTTGCCGGCCGGAGTCCTCGAGGGTGCGGGACCCTCTCCTTCTCAGGCTCCGTCGGACCACTGCCTGATTTGCACAGGTCACGCTTGGTTAGTAGATTTCTTGGCACATACGAAGCTCCCAGCCCCAGTCTCCAGAGAGGAGCAGCACCAGCGCAGGATTTGTCCTGCAGAAAGGCTGGGATTTGGACTGTCAGGGATAGCCAGGGGGGTGCGTCGTTAATCTATAGACTTGTCCGTCCGTCCGTCCATCCATCTCTCTCTCTCTCTCTCTCTCATCCAGATTCTTATCTATCTGTCTATCACAGATATTTGTATACTGCCCGAGTTAGTGACTAGCACTGCCCTGGGTAGTTGACAATAGATGAAAAAGATGCATTTTAATTTCTGTTTCATTGTATTCTGTATTGTTTTGTGTTGACCTTGTGGGTGTGTTTGTGTCTTTTTATTGTCAACCGCCCAGAGTTGCGCTTGTGGTCACCAAGTCAGGCAGCTCAGGACTGTCAAGCCGAAGCAGGAAACTGAGTAAAAAGGAAGAGGGTGGGGGACTCTCCCAGTGTTGCTGCAGGAAGACACACACACACACCGGGCTGCTGCACCCTCAGCCCCCCAAATCTTTCCCCGCTCCCGTTTCAGCCCTCCCCCTCCTCGTGGCACTGACCTCTGCCCTGTTCCAGTTCACCTCCTGGGAGAAGTAGCCGTAGCAGTGCCCGTTGTAGTCCAGCCAGTTGACAGGGCAGCTGGCAGCCTGGACACCTGCATGGACAGGAAGGACAGCGGCATTGCAGTGGTCATTTGGGAAGCTGGGGGGGGCTCATCGAGAGTCCCCAGAGCTGCCCTGCCCCAAATTGGCAGGGATGCTGGATCCGTGCCTCTAAGCTACGGAGGAGGAGGGCTTCTGGGGTCACCCATTCCTCAGTGATATTCAGCAGGTTCAGGGAAGACAGGGGGTGGGGGGTAGGGGTGGAAGACAGCGTGGTCCCTGGTGCTCAGCAGGTTCTGGGCTTTGGCCTCATGACCCCGTCCTGACTTTGCCCCTGGACCGGAGAGGGAGAGAGCCCTGAATGCCTGCAGTGAAGGCATTGGCCTCCACACCAGAGCACGGTGGCCCCCCCAAAGGAGGAGGGATGGGGCAGGACTCTTGCGGTCTCCCAGGCTGCCGGGTTGGTACAGAGAAGGAAATCCCACTCCTACGGTGGACACGGCAGATTGGAGAGGTGGGTCTGATGGGCACCCCAGGGCTCGGACCGAGATGCTCCTCCTGACCTGGGCTTTCAGGCGGGTGTTTTCATCAACATGCATGGGCTCTGTGTGTGTGTGTGTCTGGGTGTGTGTGTGTGGGTGTGTGTGTGTGTGTGTGTGAGACAGAGAGAGAGAGAGAGAGAGGAGACGCACCTTCCAAACAAGGTCCAGCCAGGAGGCAGCCCAAGAGACCAAGACTGACGTAGGCCACTGGAGACATCTTCTTAGTGCTTCAGCTCTTGGGACAGAGAAGGAGAGAGAGAGAGAGAGATCAGGATGGGAGACAAGGGTGGCATTGGGGATACTGGGAGTTGTAGTTGAAAACAATTTCTATCAAAAAAAAATATAGCTTCGCAACCCTTTTCAGTCCAACACCATCCTAACTTTTGCCTGCCTGGTCAAACCATTAAGTGCCACGTACATATATTCAGCTAGGAGAGAATGGTGTGGTTGGAGGGGTGTACATGTGTCATCCAGTGCCATTCCCACCCCCCACCCCCCGCTCCAGCCCGAGGAGGAACTCTGCCACTAAAATATCCCAGTTGGCTCCTTAATAAAGGTGACCCTTTAGCTCTGAACATTCGGTCAGGCCAAAGCACCCACTTTTGCCCACACACACACGTCAATCCATCGTCCTTTCTGCGCTTGTATCTGAGAAACCAGCCCTGCTCTGTGAGCGTCACTGGAGGTCCCAAAAGACCGTTGAGCAAACGGGGCTGCAGCCTCCCCATCCCTCGGCCGGCTGGCTTTCCTCAACCCGTCGCCTCCTAACCTGAGCAGAATGGAAGAAGGCCTGCACCTGGTTTGCAGCACCGGCCAGCGCTGAGCAGGGGCACCCTGTGTGCACGGTCCCAGGGGTGTCGGCCAGCCCAGAGTTTTTAATTTTAATGACCAGGGGCAGGCATTAAAGGAGTGCAGGGAGGGCTCCAAAAGGCAAGGGACGTGGCTTGCAAAAGCCAGCAGGGAAACAGCCCCTGGAGAAGATGTGCAAGCCGACAGCACTGACCACCCAGGACACTCACCTGTCTGGGTCCACAGGGATGCTCTGCAGTTCAGCCACCGCAGGAGGCCGGCTGCGTCCACCATCTTTATAGGCTGCTTGTGGTCTCCTCCACCTGGTCGTGAAGGAGGGGACTGCAAGCCAGCTGACAGACAAAGCCTCCCTCCTCCGAGCAAACAGAAATCAAAGAGTTTTCATTGCCCCCACCCCCACTTCAACCAGGGGCCTGGCTTGGACGGCAGTCCTTTAATCTGAGAGATCAAAGTCAGGGCTTGAGATGAAAGGGTGGCATGGGGGTGGGGGGAAGAAGTGCGTACATACATGTACAAGCGCTCCGTGTCTGGGAAATTCCAGCAGTGGTACACCCCTTCCCCTGCACCCTGTCTGAGACACCACAAAGACTCTTCTCAAAACAATAATGCAAGTTCAGTTAACAGAGACTGACAGAGATTTCTCAACTTTTATGGAACTCATTTAAGACCACAGGCTGATCCCCAAAAGCTGCCAAAATCAACATAGGCAGATCAGATAACGGGGACATTTGAGAAAGAAATGCAAACAGCAATACTTCCTTGTTCAAGGAACACCCGCCCGTCAGGCAAAAGACATACAGATCCCCAGAGAAGACTGCGATGTTTCGGTGTACAGAACTACTACCGACGAGCCCAAAGTTTCCCTAAAGCAGATGCCGGCCAGGAGCGTGTCCCCTAAAGCAGCTGGCGGCTGGGACAGTAACCGAGGGCCTCCCTTTCCTGCGGCTCTTCCAGGCAGTGATCGTAGAGAAGAGAGAGGCGGAGGAGGCCTGCTTATTCTGGCCTGCAGAGGGGCTGCAAATATCTTTGTGGTCCAGGACACCCCAAAAGGCCACAGCAGCCACGAGCCCAAAAGTCCATGCCTGTACTGGTCACAATGCAGCTGAGCTCAGAAAATGCAATCCAGTGAAGCGTGTCTTCCGCCTGTACAGCCATAGCCATGTTGGCCGGGGGGGGGCCTGAGAGGTGTACCCACACACCCACCCCACTGCCCAGAAAAACCTTTTCCAGGTTCAGGATCGGAGCAGATATCATGTCCTGCCCTCAAACCTCCCTCTCCATGAACCCAAAGATGTCGGAGTGCTGGCCGTCCATGTAGGCATGATGGTCCCGGGCCTCATCATCTCCCTTGTGCCCTGACCGCCTTGGCTGCCACTCAACCTGTTACATCTCTCATCACACTCTGTCCAAGAACCTGGCTCCCCACATGGCAGAAGCGAAACACACACACACTTTTTCTGAGAAGGACACAGGTCCGTTTTGTCTCAAGCCTTCTGAGATTTCCTTTGTCATTTACAGTAAGTTTTAAGAGTACAAAAATTAAGTAACGATGTTAGGAGTAAATAAAGAAATTAATAATAACTTATTTGGCCGTTAAACTTGCAATAACATTGTTAACAATATATCTGGAAGTTGAGTCATGGCAACTGGACTTCTTTCTTGTTAGGCTGAAAGCGTTTGGCTACTCATGCAAGGAGCTTCTTCATTCTGTTGGTAGGAGACCCCGGATAGATTCTTCCCAGTTGGTTTCACTCCCCCCTGGTCTGCATAGGCTCATTAGAAGGTCAAAGGACTGGGGGTGAGGGGAAAATCCCACTTCTGCAGTCCTTCTCCACCCATTGTCATGGATCGTTAAGGGTCGTTAACAGTGGTCTTTCTGGTGTGTGTGGTCCTGATCTTTCTGGGGATGGATATTGTTGACAATAATTTCTGCCATATAACTCTAAGACACACCTTTATTTGATGTCTTTCTAAAATGCACTTCTATGTCATCCAGAGTGGGTGTGACATAATGTGGTTGCTACAGGTCTCCTGTTCGGATGTGGCTTCAGCCATAAACTCAATATCTAAGATAAATTTTAGGCGAGGCTGATCTGTCAGGTTCTTCTTGATCTTGTTGAACTTGGCAGGATTCCTATTTATATTCCCCAGATAACATCTGTGGGGCATCTTGACCAGGGCCAGTGTCCTATAGCCAGTCTCAACTAATGGGTAGACCCACCGAATCCATTGCTGAATACTTAGTCAACTCTTATTGAATCCTTGGGAGAGGGAGAGTTTAGTGCAGCCATAGGGCCCTGGCCCATGCGTTTTAAGACCTTCTGTAATGTTCCACAGAGAGTGTCAATTTGCAAGCCTTTGAGAATACAGTGTCAATTTGTGTTGGTTTTTATTGTTAGTTCATATTAATGGCTGCACAATTGTCTCCAGCACGGAAAAACTCTCCAATCAGAGAATCCGGGAATCAACACGAGGGCTTTTTTGTCGAGCAAAGCAGACTCTCAGCCAGCCAGGTATTACAGTTACGAGAGCAGCGCCCTGGCCATCTCCCGAGTCCTGCCTTTGGATGCATGTGCAGCTTTGTCCAGCCTGGCTGTCACCTGGCCTAATGGGAGGGCTGGAGCTGGCGGATGGCCACTCTGGCTAGCAGCTTGCAAATATCTGGCCAGCTGGCTTCTTCTCCTCCCTCTCCACTTTAGGAACCCTGCTAATCCATTATCTGCATGAATTTAAGCAGTTTGGGACTGTGGTCAGGGAATGTCTGATGGAGGGATCTGAGCAGGAATGCTGATGGTGCTGGGTTACCCCCACCACCACCATCCAGCCCTCCTAGAGGTTGGGGAAGGGGGAACATCGTATGTGAGCTTCGTCCTTGCTCAGCCCCATCTGTCAAGACAGCCCGAGTCAAAGCAGTGATCTAATGCCCAGCATTATTTAACCTCAGGAGATTACCAGATGCCTGGACTGAGCAGTAAAACATCAGGATTGTCTGTCTGGTTTTGAAAGAGGAGAGGAACTTTCCTTGGACTTCAAAAAGAGGGTTAGAAATCAAAGAGGTCAACGGGAGCCACAGAAAAGCCTGGCACACAAGATGCCTCTGCAGGATTGCACAAGAAGGCCGGCCTCTCGTGACCAGCCTGTTGTCTGGCTTGATGGAAAACCTCTCCAGGCTTTGCCTCACCTCCTCCTTCAGGGACAAGCAGAGCCAGTCTTGATCAGAGGCAGCTGCTTTTTATCAGAGCAGCCTTGGCCAGGGTTTTCTAAGTACAAAGGAAGCCACCTCTGTGGCAACATAGGCGTCTTCTTAGTGCTGATCCTTCAGGGTATGGAAGCAAGAAGCTCAGCTACTCCTTGCTTCTAGATGGTACCATTCGTCAACAGCGCATCCTGATTACTCAAAGCTGAGCCTAAATATTCCTAGTTTTGCTCTTAACTCATCTTTGGATTTTCCCCACTGGCCATGCCACTGGCACCAGAACAAAAACTCCTTTCAGAGTGTCCCTCAACAGCTGTGGTGCTCCAAGTGCATTGTGTACCAAGATCCAGTTGGGGACAATCCCAAGCCACCCTGGAAAGGCCTTGGGCCTTCTGCTTCCTCCCAGGCTCTATCCCTGCACATCCCACCCCTCACTTCACAAAACAAATGCAAAATATTCCAAAACTCAATCTATGTACAAAGACACCGGACAGTTCCTATCCAACTACCAGGGGTTTTGAATTGGCTGTGATGATTCGTTACATATGTATCGGACTCTGGACGTATACTGAACACGGCAGAAATTTTGTGCAGGAGACCGCCTGTCACTGGCCCTGTAATTGCTGGGATGCCTCTTACCACGAATGCAAGAACAGAAACAACAACAACAAAAAGATGAGACACAGCGTCATCAGCGACAGGCACTAGAACTTTGTCCACAAGGGTGCAACCACCACAAGGATAATTACCCAACAACAACGACAGCTCGCCTCACCTCGTTGACACTTTCTCTGAAGGGTGTGGGTCAGCTCCTATGACCGTTTCCAGCCAGTCAGGCAAGCCTTCACCAATAGATCAGGACAGCCGTCTTGGAATCAAGGGAGACCCCCTGTTGAAAGCTTAGATGTGACCTTGCCTTCAACAGAGACCGCCAGGAGACTTAGAGAAGCTGCTCTTGGCTCAGAACCACCCTTTGGCCAGCGGCGCCTTTTATACTGTTTTTAGCCTGCGCACCAGAGCTGCAAACCACTCCCTCCCCGGACGTCCCCCAAAACTCAGACCCTCTAAATGACCGTGTGGAATCAACAAGTTCAGCAGGGCCATGTGTGGGTCCTCCTAGTCAATGATTTTCCGAAAGTTCAGCAACATGTCCCGTGACTGCGGTTCTATTTTGCTCTTAAACGACATTTCAGGACGATGCTTCTGCCCCTTGAGCAATGCCTGTCCCACTTCCTCATAGATGATATTCTTATCTTCCCGTCCTTCCTGCAAGGACGTCACCACCACAGGCCACTGTTAAGGTCATGAGAGGCTGACAGTCTGGTTGTTGAAGGTCGTCAGGAGGGCACCCCTCTGAACATTTCAGCAGATGTTCCTCTCCATGCAAAGCTGGACTGGTTTCTTGCCACAGGTCTACCTACCAATAGCCTTTGCTGGACAGAGGACACCCTGCACATCCACACCCTTGTCACCCACAAGACCCCCTTATTCTGAGAAGGTCTTGACCACAGCTCCCTTTGCTTGGCCCCAAGTGGGGCCAAAGGATCTCCTTGCGGCTGGCCAACCTTCCATGACTTGTATCATTCCAGAAGGCATCTCTCTCTCTCTCTCTTTCTCTCTCTCTCTCTCTGTGGATGTGTAGATGTGTGTGTGTGTGTGTGTTCCCTTGGGGTGCGGGGTAGAGTGGGGGGGGAGAACAGGACATGTGAACAGGGCATGTTTTAATTTAGGGGTTCAGAGTTGGGTGTCTTCTGGAAGAGATACACCTTTTACTCCTCGAAAGCTTTCCTGGGGCTTCATCAGGTGCTGCCTCGTGAAAGCACAGGTGTCCCTTTGTTGTCACAGGGGGTCATCCTGACTTAGAGAAGCACAAAAACACATTTTCCCAAGCCTGCTTCTCCTGTTTTTTTTTTTTCCTTTTCAGAGGTTTCTGTTGTTTTGAGATAACTTCCTTGTTTGATCAACACTTTCCACAGGAAAGAGGTGATCGGGTCCAAATGAAAAGAATAAGCAAACATGTATTTATTTGCATGTTGTTAGCAGGGACTCTGGAGACAAGAGGGAAGAAGGACACCATCCAGAAATAGCTGTCTTTCCACTTGACCAAGAAACCCACAAGTTCTGCTTGCAGAATTTCCACACACACCCATCTTGTCGTATATCACGCTGAGCAACTCTCCGGTCTGGTTGCAACCAGCCTTCGACTCGAATGGTTTTCTTTCCCCCTTGTTCAGATAATGTAGCCGAAGTTTCCGGGGCTGGGAGGGGGGGGGAAGAGGAGGTAGCAGTGTGGGTCTGCAGCATCAAAACAACCAGGACACCTGACACCTGGAAGGCTGGTGATGAGCTTTCACGAACTGTAGGCCACTTTGTTAGGTGCAGCTGAAGAAAAGGGCTCCAGTCCCTGAAACCACCTGCTAAGCAAATCTCGCCACTGGTTTTAAATGCTGGAAGAAGACCCCTTTGCACATTTCCTGCAGTGGATGGGAACTTCCTCCAGCTGGTATATGGACCTCAGTTAGAACGCTGGCCTTCTAGCCTGACCTCCCCGACCTCTTCATCTGTCTCTTAGAAATCTATTATACTATATCATGTTTCTCCCTGCCTTTCTGCTCCTAGGTTGTCCTCACCTAGGTTGTCCTCACCACAATAAAAACAGTGAGTTAAAACAACAACAACAACAACAAATCCAGCCATGGAATCATTTAAATAAAACAAAACCCAACACAACCATGTAAATAACAGCAAATGAAACAATATTGTACACCAGTTTTAAAAGCCATGTCTTTCCAGCTTTCCTGAAAGTAGCGAGAGCCTCTGTAATTGTTGGGATTTTCAACTGGGGGGGGGGCATCTCAAGAGGGCCTCTCCTGTTGGCCTTAACATCCAGATGAGAGAGCAGAGCGGATCCTTTAGGTGGCCACGGCAGGGCCCAATCCATTGATGGCTCCAAAGGTGAAAACAAGCACTCAGCATCAGGCCCTGTAAAGACCCTGCATGATATTGAACGATGAACGATCCAGGTCGTTCAGCATCAGTCATATGATTTCCCTACTGTGTATCATCGAGCTGCCACGTATTTCACCAAATTAAAATTCTGGACCTTCCCCAAGGAGTAGCCCCATGCAGAGCACGTTGCAGTAGTCCAGATACAAATGTCACTGAAGCACGGCTGACTGTTGCCACATCAGGTCAGGTCAAGGAGGGCCATAGCTGGCTTGCTGAGTTGAGGTACGAAGGAACTCCCTGTCATTGCCCACATGTGAATCCGTGGGAAGCCCAACGCCACGTCGTCTGTCCAGCCTAGGGACCTGAACTGTCGGGGGGGGGAAGGGTGCAAACGCTTCTAGAACAGGCTGGATCCCAGTCCCTCTGAGCCTGGCTTTCACTGGGTCGCAGCAGTGAGGGTTTCGTCCCCACTGGTTCACCTTCATCCACCACGTTGGGCCGTTGGGAGAAGGCTTCATGTTGATGTTCAGTAATGGGGGGGGGGTAGACAGGGTAGAGCTCTGAGGAGCTTGGCTGAGAAGGATCCAGAGGACCAGGCATCATCATCCAGGAGCGTCCAGATTTGCGGACCTGCCACCGTCTCGCTGACATCCGGCCCTCAAAATGGTAGCTTGGAGACGGGCTTAGAGTCATGCAGGGCTTCTGGGCCAAGGACCAGATTTGCAGACCTGCCACCGTCTCGCTGACGTCCGGCCCTCAAAATGGTAGCTTGGAGATGGGCGTAGAGTCATGCAGGGCTTCTGGGCCAAGGAGGGGTTCCTCTAGCAGGGGGAGCACAGTGGACATTGTTGCCCGTTAGGGAGAGAAATGAGCATTGTGGGGGGGGGTTGCTGCTCAGCAGGGCAGTACAGTCCTCTTCTGTGCACGGCAGCATCCTCCCCCTCCCCTGAGCAGGGCATCCACCCCACCTGGGCAGACTGGATTCACCAGGAGGGGAAAGGATCCATCGAGCAGGATCCAGCCTCTCTCGTTCTAAGCTCTCCATCCACAGCCTTGGGATCGGGAAGTGAAAGGAATACCAGCCGGCAGTGTGCGTGGTGGCCGACGCCGCTGTGGCCCCTGCCCTCCTCTCTGTCGGCCCCTCCTCACAAAGCCCCACGAGATAGAACAGCCCTTGAATGGGTCCCCGGAAGGCAGATGATTCATCACACGGATCCAGTGTTACACAGGCC